GTCTTCCCAAGTCTGGGCACAGCACTATATCCATTGAGCCTTTGGTATCTATAATTTCCACATAGGCCATTTCCACAGCCACAGACCACATTCCCAGCCCAAGCCAGCCATCTCAGATATCTATACACGCCCTTGGTGGAAAAGGTATGTACTTTCTACACATTATCATATGAAAAATGGTTACTCACAGGTTACTATCAGCAGGACATTCATCCATAATTATTCCTAGAAACACAACTAAAATCTAACATCCTTAAACATTGTTTAATATGAAGATGTACAAAAGCAGTGTGATATAGTAGAAAAAACACTGTACTTGCAGTCAGGAGCCACGTATTCTAGGGCTAGCTCTACCATTGATTTGTTCAAAGGTCTTGGATTAGTCACTAGATGTCTTCATGCCTCTGTTTCTCCATATTTAAAATAAGGACAATAATATCTAGCCCACTTGCCTCATAGTACGGTCTTAAAAAATCAAATGGAATAATGCACATACAAGTACACAACACTATACAAATACCAGGAAATGTCATTCATTTTCATATTAAAAGCTTTTCCCCCATTGACCACAAACTATTACAAGGTCCACTCATTTCTCAGCCTCATATTTATGTCCATCATAGGTAATTCCATTCTATGGCATATTGTTGGGTAGCACCTTGAAGCTGATGATGTGTGAAATGCCTATTCTTCACTGGAAAGGTAGGGGATTGTTACTAAAGAATAGGGATGTCAGACTTCCACCAATCCAAGACTATGGGAGGGAGCAACTTTTTTAATGTTAGTTGCTGACAGTGGAAGAGCAGGAGGACCAGACCTCAAGGGCCTGTGAGAGAAGAAAAAAAGGAAGTGAGGCTTCTTGGTCTAGGAATTATCCCCAGGTAGTTTAGTAATCATAGGATATCCCAATCCCACACACTCTCATACTGAGGTACAGCTTTAGCATGAAAGAGAAAGACACAAATGCAAATAATCCCAATGAGGAAGGAAAAGGAAAATTGTATAAAAAAGGCTGATGTGGCACACAGGGAATTCATTGGCCATCTCAATTTTATTTTTTTAAACACAAGCACAAAATGAGATCAAGGGGAAGGGGAGAAAAGGAAGAGGGAGGGAGGGAGAGATAACTAAAAATGTTTACGGACAAAAGAGTGACATGATCCTGTAAGAATATATCAGAAAAGCTAAAGCCTAGAAAAAGCTACAGTTTATATATTGAATGCTAGGACAACAACAACAATAACAAAAAGACAAAAGGATGATAAAGGAAAAGATAGTAGCATTATTTGAGCTGGACAGGACAACAAAAATGGATGATAGAAAGGTGGTACTACCACTACTCAACTGTTGCTTTGTTTCTCTTTTCTTTACCAAGAAGAATGAGTTCCAGACTGAAAAAGATGGAACAAATATTTAACAGAAAGTTTAAGTCCAAGCACCTGGCTATCCTGCATGAATTCAGGTCATTGGATCCAGATAAAATACAATTCAAAATATCAGTACAACCCACACCAACCAGGTAAATGTGGTATAGGCATGGTATGTCCAGATTTCAGAAAGGCATATGACAATGTCTTCCTTATTACCCTTGTAGAAAAGATGAGCAAGGACTGCATAGGTGACTGCTCTCAGTGAGCTTTAAGAAAAAATGGGGGAGGGAAGGAGATGAGAAGAATGGAAGAGACACCACAAGACTGATGGTATCATATCCATTTTTGAAAATGGAAATAGTGTTCTGAAAACTATATGTCAATGAGTTTGACCTTAATTCCTGTCAATAATATTAGAATGTATTATTAAAGCCATAGTTTGCAAGCACTTAAAAGGTATTTTAAAGACCACTGAGTTCAACCCTTTCATTTTACAGATGAGGAAACTGAGGCCTTTGGATTGCACCTCTCCCAAAGTCAAACAGGTCATAAATAGCAAAAATGATATTCAAACCTAAGTACCATGACTCCAAATACTGTCTGGCTTCTAGCCTGGTACAATCAGGGGAATGTGGTATAGGGAAAGTATGCCTTGATTTTAGAAAGGTCTATGGCAATGCTTTTCTCATTATCCTTGTAGAAAAGACAACAAACAGAATACAGACCCCCTCATTAGGTAGATTCAAACTAGTTGAATGACCAGACCTAAAGAGTGGTGATCAATATCAACCTGAAAAGAGTGGGAGCACGGCACAGTGGCTAGAGAGCTAACCTCAGCATCAGGACAACCTGGGTTCAATCCCTGCCTCTGATACATACTGAATGTGAGACCCTGGGCAAATCACTTAATCTCACAGAGGTTTTGGAAGCTAAGATTGTAAGTTACAGAGTAGTGATAGATACGTGTTCAAGAGAACAAGTTTTCTCACCTGTAGCTTTCTATGCCAATGAAATCAGAGGGACAGTTAAAAAAAAAAGTCCTGTTCAACATTTTTATCAGTGCTTTGGATGAAAGCATAGATAATACATTTATCTAATTTGCAGATTACTAAAAGCTGAAAGGGGTAACTACTAAATTAAATGAAAGAACTGGGATCCAAAATCATCTTAATAGGTTGGAACAACGAGCCAAATTGAATAAGATGAAATATACTTCAAGAATCTCTGATTTCATTTGTGTAGTTATTCCTGCACCAATGCAGATAACAACCCCTCAAAGACTTAGGAGACACACTAATGAATTGCTGTGGTCAAAAAACATTCATCACCCACCGGCCAACCCTTCGGTACTAACTTAACTAGGCTAGTCCTCAGAAGACAGACATAGAGTCTGCCTCTGAATCCATAACCCAAACACTTCCAGCTTCGTAGGACCAGACAGAGCTTAGGCTCAGCTCACTGTTTCCCTCTCTGTCATGAAAATATACCAGAGGAGGACCTTAGGGAATGTAGAGTCCTACCCTTGGGTTCAAAAAATTGGCCTCACAAGTACAGGACAGAGAAGTTATTAGAGAACTATCATGTGAAAAGGATGTGAGGGTTTTAGTGGACCACACGCCCAATTTCAGGGTAGTTAGGTGTTACAGTGGATAGAGCGTGTGGTGTGGAGTCAGAAAGACGTGATTTCAGATCCAGCCTCTGATGTTTACCAGCTATGTGAGCCTGGGTAAGTCAGTCCATCTCTGTCTACCTCAGCTTCCTCAACTATAAAATACAGATCATAATAATACCTACTTCCCAGCGTCATGGTGAGGATCAAGTGGAAAAGGTGTTATACTCACTTTGTTGACTTCCAGAGGGCAAAACTAAGACCAGTTACATTGCTCAGAGGCAAATTTTAGCCAGACATAAGGGAGAACTTCCTAACAATAAGATCGGTTCAAAAACAGTACGTTCTGCCTCAGGACAGAGTGAATTTCCTTCTTCTGGAGGTCTTCAAACAAAGGTTGTATGATTATTT